GCGTCTAGGCCCTGGCTGCAACGACCAAATCTTCACGCTCCGCCAACTACTCAAACTCTGTTACATCCACCGGTTGCTAACAAATCATAGTGTTCTTGGATATCCGAGCGGCATTTGATTCAGTAGATAGATCTGCGTTGAGGAACTGTTTACTGAAGAAAGGTGTGCCCGACCATCCTGAAAGAAGTTTACAGTCACACGTCGGGCAAAGTCAGGGCTTACGACACGCTCTCTTCTTCGTTTGCTGTGACCCGCGGTGTTCGTCATGGTTGCCCTACTTCACCTTTCCGCTACCATTTTGCCATCGAAGATGTCGTCGAAAAAGCACTAGAAGATGACCAGAACTGTTGTGTTGAGTTCCTCTCTGGAGACAGAGTCACGGACTTGGACTACGCCGATGACATCGCCTTGCTGAGGAACGACCCACAAACGGTCCAGAGCGCTTTGGACCGCTTAGCGGTGAATGCGTCTAAATATGGCTAATACTTTACTCCGGGAAAATGTAAAACGCTGCTCCAGGATTGACAAGTGCCTGAATCCGCGCTCAACATTGCTGGACATGTTCTGGAGCCAGTCTCTTGCTTTACTTATCTAGGGAGTTGCATCACGGCTGGTGGCGGTGTTAGAGATGAAGTCTCACAACGGATTGCAAAGGCCCGATTTGCATTCATCAAAGTGAGACACTTATGGCGTCGTCGTGATGCCAGTCACAAGCTCAAGGGCAAGGTGTACAATGCTTCCGTCCGTGCAGTACTCTTGTATGGCTATGAGACGGCCTATTTGCTCGGAAGATATGAAGCGGTTGTCAGTCTTCGACAATCAATGTCTAGGAAGGATTGCTCGGATGTGGTGGCAACTATTCGTAAGCAACGCAGGAGTCCGAGACCGAGTGATTGGAGCGAGTAGTGTCAGTCTTCAGGACGTTATTCTCCGACATCGCATGTGTTGGTTCGGACACGTTTTGCGCATGGCAGCCCATCGCCTTCCACGTCAAGAGCTAGTTGCACTCTCAGAAAGCGAATGGAAAAAGTACCGCGGTGGACATCCAATGAAGCGGAGAAAGAGCATGAAGAAGGCAACCTCAAGTTTGGCGGCATTCGGACCAGTCAGTCTTCGAGGTTGGGGACCATGAGATGCTGAATCTCAGTGTTTGGAAACATTGGACGTCATGACCCGAAACAGACATCAGTGGCGTCAATGTTGTTCTGCCATTATATCCCCCCGTCAATACACAAAAAACTCAAAACAAAAAATTCAAAATAACGTGTGTAAAACCAAAAAAATCGTTTTCCATTTTTTATTGCAGTTCGTGTTTCTATATTCTTCTGATGGTTCTGATGGCACAATGTCCGTTAACAGACTGTGGATATATATATATATATAGTACCAGGAACTGTTTGGAGATGCTGAATAGGAATCTGGTTTCGAAGAAATCGAGGAATTTTAATGCCACTGTGCAACGTTTGGATATATAAGCCTATAGAATCTATCAATACGTGCTGTTCCGTCATGTGTTCTTCCAATGTTATTGTGTGTGATGGCGTTCGACTCTGTATACTCAGTATGTTTCTGTTACTGCCAAACGTTGCGAAATTCAAATGTGCAATATACCGAGGATTTTCAGCACAAACATATGTCTACCTATAGGCACTTCAAATCACCGCCTGGGCTACCGTCTGTTACTAGCGAGTGGTGCTAAGGCAAGCCAGGGGCATATGCGTGCAGTGAATTCCTGGGTGGATTTTGCATGTGATTTTTTCCAAATTGCGCATAACTTTTGTATAGGCCAACCCCCATTACGGAAATGGGAAATTGTCCAAAATTCCTCGGCTTATACATGGGAATCTACGGTACCTATGTATTTATTTATTTAATACGTCGTGTAGGTTGGGTCACAAGTGAATTCAATCATCATTGTGACGTAATGGGATATGCAGAAGGCGGTAAGGTTACGCTCAAGTACTGTCGGCCGGTGGCCGAATGGTGTGCACGTTTGCTTTGCAACCATAAGGTCACCGGTTCGAATCCGCGTAGGGGTGGGCGTCCTCGCGGTATACGCAGCCCGCGCGCGACTGGTGGTGGTTGCGCGGCAGTGAAGCGCCGTTACGGCGTACAGCTGACACATTATTATTGTTATTATTATATTCAAGTACAACTGATCGCTCCACAATTGGAAAGAGCCCCATTTGTTTGAAATTATACATATTCAAGAGGCCAAATCGTAAGTCTGGAGGTTGCACGCTAGTTGGACAGCAGTCTGGGAGCTTAAGCAAACAGATATACAATCCGCTAAAGGGGGACCGACAGTGATGCTTTATATAGTGAAGACATTACTGGTGCGCATAGTTCTGAAGCGATGACCATAATAGCAGTTCAGAATAAATTGATTGATTCGATGATTGGTGTAGAGATGATGACTAGTTGTTGAGCTGCAATTTGTCTTGTCTTTGTGGTTGTTGAGCCAAGTCGAGAGGTGTGCCTTGATTCGTTTATACCCGTGCCTGGTTGTACATCCAACGTACCTGAACGCACAGGGACAGGTAAACTGATAGATTACTATTGACTGGAGATAATCGGGCACTCGGCATTTGAATCTAGAAGCAGTTGGGTCTTAATCGAAAGCAAGGAGAAACAAATACAAGATTATACGTCAGTATGTTGTACCGACTGCGACCGCACCAACGGGAGGGCCTTACTAATGGGGAATAGCAATGAAAGAAGGGGAATCTAGTGTAAAACTGGAGGGATATAAGAAGCAGATGGAAGATGGAAAGAAGTTGGTGATACCCCGTTTTTGCATATCTGCCGAGAAGCATGCATGCGCATCGTCCCTTTGGACGAGTAGTGACAAAACAACACTGTTCAACCGTGTTGCGAGCACTCCGTGTCAACGATACACTGTGTGGCGCGATTCGGGTCTAACAGCTGTCACGCCGATTAAGCTATGTAGTTGTATGGCGATTGCAGTTTACCCTACAGTCAGTTGACTTATGGAATATTTATCAATCAGTTACCTAGAAGCTGGGTCTTCGATGGAATCGAAAATCAGTGCAGTTTATTTAAGCAACTGTATTTCTGGCACCGAGTGCTGTAGATTCAGTCGCCATGACTCGCGCATTATGAAAAATCATACAAATAGATAGAATTGGATGGAAGAGAATGATAGAAGAAAATAAGATGACGACGAATGTAATCTGCTGTAGTGTTTAGATTGCCAGTCGAGTAGATGAATCGCGCCATTAAATCTTAAACGGGACTGTATCTAAAACAAATACATCTCAGGTGTTGCTAACCGGTGAAGTTCATTGGTTTCACCCCTGTCTGCCCTCGCTGGACTTCATCCGTGGGCGCAGAGGTTGTATGCGAATGCTTTTACCACTACGCCCAGGAGCGGCGGGGAACGTCTCACAGATAAATAGGATGCCAATGATCGCAAGGATGGAGAGTCTTTGCAAAGCAAATCGCGGTCCGTGTTGAAATTGCATGCCGTAATCGATCCACACAACAGGGTATTCAAATGAAATACCAACTGGTCATCAATCGATGTGGCAAGCGGTGCTCACGATTCACTGGCGCGGTGCGAGGTCTTACACCGATAGTCTTTATGTCATGGTTTCGAGTCGCATTTCTACTATCCGAACCTGAAGAGTGCAGATGAAGATGAAACCGGTTGCGGAAGGAAGTGCTGTGAGTTAGCAATGCCTGAAAGCCAATATAGTTGTTGAATAAAAATTAAAAACTACAGATAACAGACCATGCGCAAGAGCGAGGTTGATGTGGTCTATCAAAAGACTCCCACACGGAATACAGTTGATACCAGTCCCACAAGGTCTCCAGGTCAAAAACTCCAAAGGTTGGGTTATGGATTGGCGGTATCCGTATCCGGATTTGCTTGTCACTGCGGTCTCCATAGAACAGCCACAGGACGCCTACGCCTACAGAGGGACCATAAGTGGCTTGCGCTGCACCACCTGCAGTTACGCTCACACATCCCATATCCGGTGTAAACTGGAAAAGATAAGACTGCGAGACATGTGGATGGGAGCCACGTTTCATCAAGGGAGCCGGATCACACTCCTTCAATAGGCAGAAGAAATGCATTCATGCATCATTGGGAAAATATGCATACCAAACGTACACAAGGCGGTGACTGGACCGTGGACCGCTCCATACTAGGTGCATGAGACCACTCTTTGAGCCTAGCACGGCAACAAGGACCGTGCACCCCGTCCCGTCCAGCAATGACTAGCTGTCTCCTGGAGCCAGTATGGAGGAGGCAGTGGGTAATAGACATGTAGGCACCTTGCAAACATTCACAACCAGCGCAGCCACACTGGGGATATCAAACAAACAACATAGAATTTGAAAGAAAATTAACACGAAATATTGACACGGAATATGTAGTACAGTAACAGAACTTAACCAATAAAATAAAATGGAATACATTCTGTCCATATTAGGAATACCCAGTCAAAGTGAAATTCGGTGTAGTCTAACTGCGGTGTGCAGCATCAGCCACGGCACGAGGCACCACAGGAATAGGACATAGGAATATTGACAAGATGAGCAGCAGGAGGCAAATAACATTCATACGGTCACAACATGAGGTAAAACGGAAGTAAAAGCCCAGTGGAACAGTGATGACTTATCGTCAGTGCGTGTTGTACATGTCATCTCCTATATCAACTACAAGCTATCCGTGCCATTAGGTAAGCCAGAGCCGATCCGGTCGTCTCTTGTCCGAGGTAAGCAAGAAGCAACATGTACTTAGAACCACTAGGCAATCGGTCGTGTTTTGTTGTGTATTTATTGTCCACTAACCTTTAGTCATAAAGCATGGAAACATGCATCTCTGTCTCTGCCGATAGTGACAGTTGCAAATGAGTGATCAAACGCTTCGATATCCGAAATAGTGAAGAATAGCTAGTTGGTGAAAATCGTGCGCCAGATAAACAAGGAAGGTTGAAATGGAGGGCATTAGAGGGAAACCGATCGCGCACTTGTTGATAAGATGGGCTAGCAGATCCAGTCCATGTTCTGCCAGGCGCTTTCTTTGAGCGAGTGAAGTGGGGTTAGTCACCGCACGAGGCTGAGGGGCTGCTGGAGGGTTGGAGTTCTCCTCTGTCTGGTGTCGATTTGGTTGGGGTGCATGATTAGCACAACTCCCATCGCACGCATGCGGACCATCCGGACCAACAGAAGGACCTGACGCTTGTGCTGCAGGCGCTGCCTGAGGCTGGGCCGCAGCGTGAGACGCCGGAGTCGTTGAAGCAGTTTCCAGGGAAAGCAGAGCGGCTTCCACAAGACTGGGGGCTAGCAAACCAGGCAAAGTGATTTTAGATCGTAAAAGGTAATGACCCAACTTAATCCTCATTGTGGGACTCAAAGGGCGCCGTAGCTCGGTGCGGCCCTAAAATAAAAGAAAGGATTCGTGTAAACATGGCGTTGTTGGTTTTCAATACAAATTGTTAAAAGGATGCCAGACGATTCACTTTATAAGTGATGGGAGAAATAAAAAAGTGGTGCGAGTAGTTCGAGTTATAACACCGGTGGTAGACAAGAGATAAAACAGCTGCATGAGGAAATAACAACTCGTTGGTGCTATATGCAAGAACATTGGACTAAGAAGATCTTTAAATCCCAACTGGACTCCCAGGAAAAAGGCGTGTGCGCAAGAAGATTGGAAAATGGACAGGAGCAATGGACGATTGATAAGGTAGTAAGGAAAGGCGCCGGAAAACAAGCAGTAAAGTAATAGCTACAACTAGAGCAAACCCCGGGGTCAAATGTCTGAATGAAATGGGAAAATAGGTTTTCCTAATCGGGGAGGATATCTTACGGTCCACCAGCACTATAACAAACATAAGGGGCGAAAATGTTGTGCGCAGCGCTAGTTGGCTTGGAAAACTCATGAACATCAGTGAAACTAGAGGTGCACATTAAAGTAAATGCAAAACTGATGTAAACGCACGCATGAGCAGTACACAGAAACCTCGCGTTAGCGTTTCGCTGTCACACAACCACCAGTAGCTGCGTGCGGATTGAAATTCGACGAGATCATTCGCACTTATGCGGATTCGAACCAATCTACCATCGTGAACACAGGGGCCAAATTAAAAGAGAACAAATTAGGAAGACTACAGACAGACAGATGCCCAAACATTGTGACTGAATTCCAAGTATCCGTAAGCAATGCGTCTGTTGTGGGATAAATCCTAGGATTAGGAACCGGGTCCGAATTCAAACATCGTTAAACGTAGGCGTGGAGCGCGAGCAACGCGAGGATTCAGTGCACGTGAAAGTGATAGGTGCCAAGATAAAAGACAATGTGTGAACAGGCTGGAATGGGTAATGGCCAGTGCATTGCGAGCAGCTTTGAGTCAGTGCGATTCAGATCCATCCGTCGATCGGTTTAAGTTGTAACGAAACGCGCTGCCTGCAACTCATGACCAAAGAGCACAGATTTTGTGGTGCAGCTACTCACAGCACCCATCGACAACCCTCGAGATACTCGCACAAAATTGAACACAGGAAAGATAAAAACAACAATTAGCTCAAATTCATCATGAATGTTACGAGAGGCTAAATGGCCATTCGACCTAAAGGGTCAAGAGTCAAAGTAAAGCGCTGCACAATGATTATCGGGGGATGAAATTGCGACTTTGAAATCGGTTGCAAGCATGTGGTTAAAAGGTGACCAATTCCCCAAAAAATGTTCCAAATATCAAGCCATGAGTATCCTGTCATCAGTGTGGGTTTGGTCTTCAAGATCCCAACATAACTGCCAGTCCGATTTGGATGTAGCGTCGGTAACATCCACTAGCATCACTCTTTTGAGCCGAATACTTTGAAAAGCGGTTTAATCAACCGGAGTTATTGTTTTCCTTTTCGGGCATTGACCGCCCTTCCCCAGGAGCGATCTCCTTGGATCCGCCCTTGTGCGTAGGACTAGAACGTGAGACCAGAATACTGTAATTGAAAAAGGCTCCAGGATCAGATAGACTTCCTCCAACTCACTTCTACTTCGGTGAAGTAGCTCCTGTATAAGATTCGTTCAACTTACTTGTGAAGCTGTGGGAGCAGGAGACAGTCCCAACAGACTTCAGTTGCTCTTTTATAGTCCCAGTTTTCAAGGGAGGCATACGTTAGGAATACGGCAATCATAGAGGAGGCAGTTTGATCTCAGTTGCCTCTAAATTGCTCGCCTCGGTCGTCCTCCACAGATTGATTGGCACCCGCGACCATCAAGATACGTTTTGTCAAAATCGAGCGTGTACTGATCACATCGTCATTTGGCCCCCGTTGTTGGGACATCGCCATAGTTATTAGCGAACTCCCGTTATCGTGTTCCTAAACATCAAAGGTACCTTTTATTCGGTGAATCAGTGTGCCTGCAAAATATGTAAATCTCATAAGAGCGCTGTATGCACATAGTTCGAGCTCATGGCAAACTGTCGCCACCCATCAGTACCTCCAGTGCTGTAAGACAAGAGTGCCCGCTGTCGCTTATTTTAACAACTCCCAAACCTGCCAAACAGCACCGGATAAATTAGTTCGGCCTATCAATCGTTTCGGGCTATGCCTTGCACCCTCGAAATGCAGAATCTTACTCCCAAATTGACAGGGGCCCACAGCGCGCTGACATTTGGTGGGTATCGACTAGAAGTCGTTCAGATATTCAAGTATATCGGCAGATATATTATCGCCCATGTAGTTGAAAATGAGATCATCAGTCGTGTAGCAGAAGCTTGAAGCGCTTTTGCCAATATCCACTACCTGTGGCGCCTGCGCGACATCACTCTTGTCCTGAAGGGCAGAGCTCACAATGCAGCCGACTGTCCAAACCTCCTGTAAGGATGCAAAACTTGGCCCATCAGATCGAGAGACATAAACAGGCTAGCTACGTTCGCCCATCGCAGCCTTTGTACCTTAGCTCATGTCTGATGAGAACACAGGGTGAGCAATGGCGTTGTGTATTTGGTGCAGGAAGAGCGAGTGAGTCGCTCAGAATCGTTATATCACGCACCAGACTCCCATGGATGGACTATGTGTTGCGCATATTAGCACACCGACTCCCGCGTCGTGCGTTGCTTGCGCGACCGGGGTCTGGATGAGAGAAAAGAAGGGGAGGCCAATCGATGACTTGGTCAACAGGAATAAAAATTCCCACATTGGACCTGGCGTCGGTTGGTGTCTCCCGACTGCTGGGCTGGGGTTGGAAGGGCGATGAACACGTTTGGTTGAATGCACTGGTTGATATGGCGAAAAGCCAGCCTCAATGGCGTTTGTGTTGTGAATTTCTGTATCCCCCCACGCGTATTTTCCCTCTCCAACCGCGTTCACACATCTGATGCGTAATATAACACAAGCATTATACTATATGGTTGTTCTTATATCGTAATCCTTAATGGATTGAACCTCGCTTTTTCATTTATCTGAGCTTTTGTATTGCGACACATTAGTTGAAGTATGTTTCTCACCCTCAGCTAACGTGCGTAATGATAGTGATGATTATCAACTTTGCCGCAGACCAGTCGGTCATACCTCGATAAAGGATATGAAATGTTTACCGTGAAAATAAACGCAAGGCATGCGTCAGAAGAGAACATGGATGATATCATTTCTAAACCAAAAAACCTGTGGAATTTGGTGTGGATTGAATGTGGAATGTGTGGATTGATTGCGGTTGGTAGGCTGTTCCACAAGACGGCGTATCGGATGAGGAAAAAGTTGGACCGCATTGATGTTCTAGCCCTTGGTATCCGTAGGGTAAAATTTTAGTTACGGAGTCTGTGACGGTTATTGTGTTTTGTCCCTATGGTATGTAGGTAAGGGTACGTTTCTGGGGCAACAAATTGTGGAGGAGCATCAAATTTTGCTTTAGACGTAGCAGCCAGAGAGGTCCGATGTGGAGCTGTTTGCAATGTTTGGTGAATGGCCTCTGTAAATTTTCTATAGCTTTCCTGTCTAAATTCCGCATGCTGCCATAGATAAAGTAGTAGTCCTCGAAGTTAGGACGAGTGGGAGTTTTAAATAATTACAATCTGGAAGGGACTGTGTGAGTTTTGTGGCATATGATTGTCACGGATATTTTAGCCCGAGCTAGTTAATGTCGGGCTTGTTCAAAATCGGAAATCAGAAAAGTAGCGGATTCCAAGATCGCGAATAGACCACCGTATGGACATACTTTTGTTGTTAAGTTTAATTGACTCATTGGGGATCAAGCAACTACATGGCATAAGGTTTGATTTGTCAATTGAGAATTTTATCAACCACGTCTCAGGCCATTTTACAATAAAGTAAAAACCTTCTTGAACCAAAAGTAGTGTGCTCTGAAGCGTATCATGCCAGAGTTTGTAAACAATCGTGATATTATCTGCAATCAGAAAGAGTTGGCCATTTTTGATGGAGCTGCCAATACCATTGATGTATAAAAAAATGCAGAGGGCCAAGTGCAGTTACTTGGATGATGCCGCTGGTTATTGGACGAGGAGAATGGTGATCACCTGAAGTGACTATTTGAGACCGATTGCAAAGTAGGAAGAAAGCCAACTTGAAAGTGGGTTCTAGATTCCAAAGGATTCGACTTTCTCCAACAAGCGTTTGTGTGGTACACGGTCAAATGCTTTTGCTAGGTCCAAAAACAAAATTATTATTGCACAGCCGGAGTCTATGGATTCTGAAGTGTAGTTAAAGTAGTGTAGCTGGCAGATCGTGCAGGAACGTCTATAAAGGAAACCATGTTGAGTTGTGTTAAATAGGTTGAGGGAATTAAGGAACTACATCAACGTCTTCTTGACTATTCTTTTAAACAGAATGGCGATAGTGGGAGTATGATGAGTCGGTCGATAATTGGTAACTTTGTGCTTGCGACCACTTTTATGGCATGGGATGATGAATGAGGTTTTCCAATGATCAGGGAAATAGCTAGTTTGTAGCGATAAAGTGAGCATGTTCAACAACAGTAAGTCTGGTCCTCCTATTTTAATCGCAGTCGAAGGGATGCCGTCGAAGTACAACCTGAGAGGTTTGATGGTTTTCATTAGTCGTTGAATAGTGCTGAGAAAAATTTGGACATTACTTAGACCTTTGGTTGTAGCGGGCTGAGGGCAACTATGTATGCGGTCTGATTCAAAAATCATAAAGGCAGCAAAGAAGGCGCTAAATGCCTAATTAGGTTCAGTGCACTTAAGTATTCAAATCAGGATTGGAAAAAGTAACCGAATCCCCAGTAGAAGAGTTCGAGGAGCACAAAGCAAACTTTGGGAAATCCGAAAAATCTGTGTGTCTTTAAGAAAATATTGGTTGGGATCGCGCTTGATTTCCTTCAATAGAAGCGGTATAATTTAGTGGCCGAACAGGACTAACTGCGGCATACTGTCTCGTTTAGGTAAGTAGGATGAAAACAAAGCATAAAACGCACATACCACGATGTTTGATGGGTAGGAAACAGAAACCGACTGTCAGTGTGAGGAAAAACCGAGGTGGTTGAGTGCATGTGACGTTTGGAAAGTTCAAAATTTACTTATCAGCGGATCAGACGAAAATAATAAAACTGTAATCCAGTACTGGTGCTTAGGGTAGTGACGAAGAGATATGATACCATCGGTAAGAAAACGCTAGCAGTGCGGAAACAGAGCAATGGGTGCTCCTAGAGAATGTCTCGTAAGAAGTCAGTGGATAGCAACAGAAGCTGCATGGCGGGCAGTGATTTCCACCAGAACAGCGGCGTATGAATGTGTGGGAGGCATAATTGAAACTAAGAGTCAAAATGACAGTGAAAATTTAGGAAACTGAACACTCGTGCGACACCTCGCAGAAACAGTGTATCAAGTACTACCAAAGATAGCGGTATGTAACTGACTTCTTGAATTTAGGGGGCCAAATAGTACTAAAAGTGGTTGGTACGAAAGAAGGGGCAATTAATCGCAAGGGTGTATTCGAAAAACTATAATCGAACGCAAAACGTAATAATCTGATAAATAGGCACCAAACCTTTGGATCAAATTCCCTCCGTCGTCCCAGATACCAGGTTAGCAGACGGCTCAGCAGGACTTCATCCTCCCAATCGACGATCCTGTGTAAAGAACGAATAAGTGAATATGAAGCAGAAAAAAGATAGCTAAATTAAACACGAGCTGGGAATAAGTCAATAAGGGGTGAAGTGAACAGTGATTAGATTTCACATCGACGGTGGCATGGAAAGAACTCGCAATATGTTATAACTGTCACAAACGACTCTGCCGATGTTGAGTAAACGAAATAACAGAACAAAGAGTAGTACGCACCAATACAGCACGTAAAAACAAGAGGCCATTACGTGCAATAGTAACGAAGTTAAGTTAGGCTTAAAAAGCGGTAAGAGCTAACCAGAGGATCATAGTCGTTCAGACCAAGTCCAAGCATTCCTGAACTATGGGAGCTGGAAACGTTCGCGACTCGAATCGTCCAGTTCAATCGAAGTGTGTCCTGTACAAATATTTGCGCACAGGTAATTGGCAAGAGTGCATAAACCGTATATATATATATATATATATATATATATATATATATATATATATATATATATATATATATATATATATATATATATGGTGGCTAGATCCTGACAGATGGTCCACTCACTGCTGCTACTGTTGTGCCATGGGCTCATGTCCTGGACCACTCCTCGTGGCGACAGCTGAGCGGGAGTTGGGTTACGCCGTTCACCCTGCTAAGATCCAAGACACCAATCCGCATCAGTCAAAGAACTGACCATGTGCTAGACCCGCCGCTTTTCGGGTGTACATTTAATAGAAGGTTTTGGCTGAGGACTAGAGTCGTTCTCCTGTCAGGTGTGGGCGCAATGCCAGTATCCTAGTCCATCCTCTTCGGAAGTTGGGAAGTCGTCGATGGCACTCATCTAGCAAAAATTAGCCATGGAAGACAACAGGTCGATGGCTTATAAGCTCACCGCTCCAATAGCGCAGAGTATCAGCACCAAGCACTGTACTTGAAGGTGGGGGGAACCGCCGGGTGCTCAATGCTTTGAGACCGACGCCTCAAGCCAGACAGCCCTTGGTCAAATTGGTGCAAACCCGCCAAAACCCACCTGCGTCTGGCCGTGGTCGCGGGTGCGTATCCTACTACGGTCGCAAAACATATGTGAATCGTTCCAGTACCTCAAAGGCTGCGTGTGACGGCCATCAAGCAGATCCCAATCTGTCTCTGCAATCACATTCCCGAGCTGGATCTGCTCCCCACTGCCTTGTGGGTCAGGCTATTGAGCCAAAGGCTCCGGGCGGAGTCCCTCAAGCAAACCTCCAAAGCACAACCACCATCTCGCGTAGGAGTACCCAGCAATGCAATCGTATGACTCTGTGCGAGGCACTCAACATCGGGTGCTGGAACGTGCGCACACTACTATAGCGGAACTGGAGTGAGCGCTCCGAGCGACGCACTGCACTGGTCGTAATGGAACTGGCGCGCTACAACATTGATATTGCCGCGCTCAGCAAGACTAGGCTCCTTGAATAAGGTAAGTTGCAAGAAGCAGGTGCTGGCTACAAGTCCTACTGGATGGGCAAAGCCACCTTAGCACCACGTGGAGTAGGATTTGCAATATGAACGCGCGAGTTGGGCGCGATGCACCGGCGTGGGCAGATGCCATCGGTCCGCATGGCATTGGTTCAGTGAATGCGAACGGTGACAAACTGCTCTCACTGTGTGCGACTCACGACCTGACGATCACAAACACTCGGTTTGCACTGAGTGTGAGTGATATAGCAACTTGGACGCACCCACGGAGTGGTCACACTCCCCTGCTCGACTATGTCATCGTACGTCAGCGTGATATGCGTGAAGTGCGCATTACAAGTGTACTGCGTGGAGCTGAGTGTGGCCCTGATCATAATGTGGTGCGGACCAAACGCTACATATATTTGCGTAAATCTATGTATTGCACTCCTGCCGAGAATCGGCATAAATTTAACATTCGCTCCCTCGGTACTGCGGCGAAACGTATTGAGCTGGAGAAGGCGATGACTGCACGCCTGTGTGATGTGGACTGCATAGCCATAGTGGGCGACCTGTGGCACCACATTCGCGACCAGGTGACAGCTGCTGCCGAGGAGACCATCGGGCGCGCCAACTGTAAGCGGCCTGACTGGTTTGATGAGAACAATGTGCCAATTGGCGCGTTGGTGTGTGAGAAGAATGTAGCATTTGCTGCACATGAAGCAGACCCCAGTGACTTGGAGAAGAATAGTCAGTTTCGTAAACTTCGATGGCGACTGACCCGAGAGTTTCGTCGCATTAAAAATGCGAGGCAGATGGAATGCTACGTCGAACGCCGTCAACACAAGGAACTGTTTGACTCCTTCAAGGCGGTGTATGGACCAAGATTGGAGCCGCTGAGGACGCTGATCGATGGTAGATCAGGCATAATGCAGATCTGGCAAAAGCACTTTGACTGTCTCTTGAACAACCGTTCAGAGATCGACTGGCCTACATTGAACGGTCTCAAGCAGCACGATGTGAAGGCGAGTCTGGCGGACACGCCGACACTGGATGAGACGCAGAGAGCACTTGTTCAGCTGCGGAACACAAGTGTGCCGGGGCCGACGGGATCCCGCCTGAAGTATTGAAATACGGCAGACCCGCGTTTGTGACTGCGTTGCCCCATTTGGTGCATCGCGTGTGAATTGAGGAGGAGGTGCCTGCTGAGCTGAAGGATGCCCTTGTGCTACCACTGTACAAGGGAAAAGGGAGCAAGCAATGTTGCACGAATTATCGTGGCATCAACTTGCTGAGTTGTGTTGGCAAGGTGATTGCCCGAATTCTGCTCAACCGCCTCGTCAGTCAGGTTGCGGAACCAAACGTGGCGGAAGAGGAAGGTGAACTCCGTTCGGGTCGCAGCACTATAGATGTGGTTTGCGGCTCGTCAGTTACAGGAGAAGTGCAGAGAACGACACCAGCTGTTGAACTCTCTGTTTGTTGATTTCACCAAGGCATTTGATACGGTGAACCGCGAGGCATTGTGGCTGGTGTTGGTTAAGATTTGTTTCCCGAGTAAGTTTGTAATTTTAATTGAATGTCTGTACAGTGGTATGCGGGCGAGAGTGCAGCTGACGGGACAGACTTATGATGACTTTGCAGATATCTCTGGTGTGAAGCAAGATTGTGTCTTAGCTCCTGCCCTGTTTTGTGCTTACGGTGTTCGTGTGGAGTACCGTATTGATGGTGGGTTGCTGAACATCCGTCTTTTCGGTGCGAGAACCCGTCTGTAAGACAAATATCTTTATGGTGCTATTTGCTGAGGACTGTGCGTTGTTTGCACACAGCGCGGATGAGGTGCAGTACGTGACTAGTGCTCTGGCTTCGACAACGGCCAAATTCGGGCTTACCACCAACAAAAGCAAAACTGGCTGTCTTTCAGCCTTCACTGAAGTTGCAATCTTCAATATTGCCGCCAATAAATAAATAAATAACGCTATTTATTCAAAACGGTAGCAAAGTGGATATTAAAGAGATCAGTAAAGGCAGCATATAAAGGACGCAACAGCAGTAAGCAGGCATACTGCATCAAAGCTTCGTTGCTACATGACCACCAAACGCATGGGCAGAGTATACTGCGAAAAAGTTCGCGCCTAAGCGGATTCGGACAGACATATGCGATGCTGTGATTTGAATATAGGTGTCTACACATGTTACGCTCGGGGAAAACTCACATGCTCAAAGTCCGGAGCTCTTTGGCCGCAGTAGACACCACCGAATGTCGTGTGTCACCATACCCGAAGAGAATAGGTATGATACTTTCCTCGGCCGGGAAAAAGTGACGAGAGTAGAACTGTATCAAGCCCAGCTTATACTGTGAAACAAGAAGGTAAGCGAAGCAGATGCGCAAAGATGTGAAAATACAACATGGAAAGGTCGTAGAAGAACGCGACAGCAGCAAACCCGGAAGGTTGTAATATAGTTTGTAGAAACGCACAAACATGCTTGAACATACGAGAATTAACATAAAAGCTGGTGATTAAAGCAGTAAGAACATCAAACTACAAAAATGACTTCCTGTTGTATCCCAGTAAGCGCACTAGACTTATCTGCAAACCGGCTTTCGCAGTAGTACCCCGAAAACACATGAACTGTAATCGGGAAAAAGACACGACGCCGTTGAATGTTTGTCATCATCGTCGACAGCAGTACATTAGCCACTTGAACTGATGCTATTCTGAAGCACAAGCACAGTGAGATACGGAAGAAAGAATAATAAGAGAGAAGGAGGACCTAGCGTAAAACGTTGATGGCCTAAGCAGACACTCAGGATCAAGGCGTCTACACTTTGTCAACAATGGACCATCACAAACAGCTGGCTATCGTGCAAAGATAACGCGGCATCGGCGAGACAGCTTCCTTCCGGCTTTTATTGTCCCGCGTTTAGCACGTAGCTAGCTCATTACCAAACAAACTTTAAACAGGCAGTCCGAATACGTGACGACAGCACACGGTCAACTGGTGTCGATTGAAAGCCATGTCATGTAACGTCGCTAGCCAAGCACAAGGCGGGTTACGTGGACTTCAGCCTGAAAGGCAAGACGGACCAACAGCAGCCAGTTTTTAGTCAGTGATTTCGTTTCTCTCTGCCAAGTTAACTTTCGCCCACTTTGAGTCATGCGCCTATCTACATCTGGCGAACAAAACGAAGCCCTCCTCGACAAGCGGTGGCCGGGCATACGTAGTACGTGCCAAAGTCAACGTAACTTATTGAGCGCCAGTCTAAGGAACTAGCTTGTTACTCACTGCCTAATACTTGCTTGCGCACATCATCGTTGCGGACATGTTGGTGCCATCAGACACCAGCCATGCCTAGCAGGCAGCAATGAACAAACACTTGAAGGTGCTTCAGATACTCAGACCGAAAGAGCCCAGTCCAACTCTAATAGAGCAGGACGGCCCTCACTGTGGCCTTGCAAGCGCAGCCTTTCAGATCGATGGAAACCCCTTTCTGACGCCGCAGACTCAAGAAAGCAATCCTAACTCTTATAATACGTGAACTGACTTCAGTGGTTATGCGCCCATGGTTGCGGATTCAGCTGTCAAGGGGTTGATTGATCGAACTACCTCGAGTTCTTGGGTATCAAGAATCAATGGATCATCAAGCGGTTGGTGGTTATGCAACAACACTGCACTTTGAAGGTGCGAAGCGCATGCCAAATGATGGGGCTACTATAGAGAGGTTATTCATGGTTGATTGCGTCGTCCCAACATCATCAAAGAGAAAGACAATATTGTCCGCAAATTCAAGATCAACTAGCTTACCACCACGCAGCGTCTCAAAGCCTGCATCGTTAGATTCCGCAAAGTAACATTCCATGATGCAGTTTGTTATAACAGAACGCAGATATGACGGAGGTATATTGTAGGAAGTACGTAGAACGTACAAGTGCCGTTGCCCATTATCTCGGAGCAAGTGACGAAGCAGCTTTAACTTGTTTTCCTCGTTGATTGGAGTTTTGGTCGGTAACTAAATCCAAATAATGCTGGAGAGATATTTTCCAGCGAAGTCAGATGTCTGACATAGGCGTGTTTCCACAGTCAGTTCAAAATGCCGATGAAGATTGAATTGAAAGATTCATGGTGGTACCCGCGACGCAAAGACCTTCATCTTGTCGACTTTCTTATATAGCAGCGCGGCCTGGATGTTAGGCAACACACCGCCTTGAGCAATGGTTACACCGCCCAATAGCTTGTTTAACTCTTCATAGTCCACAATGAAATTGGGCAAAAATGGGAAAGTGTACAACCGTGAAGAGCACTACTTGTTGTCAGACAGATCCGACATTTCAACGTAAATCCTGACGCGGACTGTGGTGTTCGAGCACAAATCAAGTAAAATGTTCACATACCATGTGAACACCTTGCCGCGCAAGCTATTCGAGCAGAATGGATCGATCGACGGAGTAGAGCGCGCCCTTGAAGTCGAGGAACACAGCTATTACCGGTCTACAGTATGTGTGACGCCGTTTTAGCACCTGTCGCGGTGTATATGTAATCTATACAACTCTATCCAAGGCGGAAACCTGTCTGCTCTTCGCTTAGTAAGGATTCTCGTCCCACAAAAGAAAATTGATGCCATTAGTTTGGTCAATCCTGGCGGCAGACTAATACCCGTGTTTAAATCAAAAGCCAGTTTGGGAAGAAGCGCTCTTTTCGATTAACCTCGTTAGGCATTACATTCATAACCATTGACAAACCTCACATGAGTGGCTCTCAAGGAGCATTGAGTCGAATGGTTACGCAAACCGTTCCATTACGTAAACGTCCAGTATCAGTGTGACCCTAGCTCACTACTCATTGTAATTGAGCTGCTAATGTATGATTCCCTACCACTAACATCCACCTACGTGGTAGAGGAGCTGCTTGCATCCGAAAAGAGGAGTACGCGAACTACAAAAGCCTTTTTGGGTTAGAAATCGCCGCACGCTTCGCAATGTGCCCTGCACCCTCGATGCAAAGAAATGCTACCGAACCGGGTGTGCACATTACCAGCTTTCACAAATACCTATTGGCCTACTTATACTGGCGGTTGTATCACTTATGATAGTCGCATCACCGGGAGCAATTGCACTAATTACTAAGGACTATGTGGATTTGCAAACTGTTTGACAAGAAGGGAAAGTTATAACATTGGTGTGAAAAATGCTATCGCCAAGAACAAAGACATGGCCAGTGGTCTATGAGGACAACAAGGGAGTTCGTTGGGCACTAATATATATATATATATATATATATATATATAATATATATATATATATATATATATATATATGCCGTAACGGCGCGTCGCTGCCGCGCGACCACCACCAGTCGCGCCAGGACGCCCACCCCTACGCGGATTCGAACCGGTGACCTTATGGTTGCAAACCAAATGTATGGGAATTAACAGTTATATCTAATAGGCACTAGCAGTAAGCCGGTAGGCGGTGCTGACGCTTCGCTGCCGTGAAAGCATCGTCAGTCGTGCGTGAACTAAGGACACTGTAAAGGTCGCCAGGTCCTTTAGGCAGGCTCGAGCCCGCGATGTAAGGATTACTAGACAGGCTTGTGACCCTTAATACCACGGACTGCTGAAGTCCACCTACCGGTCAACCCTGCCAAGTCCCTATTCATGAATCTCGGGAAGGCTGTTCACGGACGAAGGTACACACTACACGGCCAACCACTGCATCCCACACCTTCAGTGAAAGACCTAGGTGTACTCTCACGCTGCGATTTGAAATGCGTCGACAACACCAACAAACTGTATCGAAACGGACTGCGCATGCTCTGGGCGCTGAAGCGCAGCTTCTGCACTTGGTCTGAGGACGTCGCCACTCGCCTCTTCTCTTCCATCGTCAGACCAATGGTAGAGTACGGCTCGCCTGCATACTGTCCGATCACTCGCGGCGAAGCGCAAAAGATCGAACGAGTACAACACGTCGCCACCAAGTTGATCCCCAGCTTGAGAGGCTTATCGTATGAAAACCGGTGCATGAAACTTGGGCTCTACACCTTGTCGTATCGCCGTGTTCGAGTGGATCTTATTATGACCTACCGTATTTTACATCTCGGTCATTTCCCCATGCTGAGGTCGTTACTCCACTTGCGAATACCATGCGCCACACGTGGACACAGGTACAAACTCGTGGTACCTGATCTGAAGAAAATCCCACACTCCCTGTGTTTCGAGCGGAGGGTTGTGCACGCCTGGAACAGTCTGCCAGAACACGTCGTCGAGGCCGAATCTGTGCAGAAATTCAAATCTTTGTTGGATTTACACTTCGCTAACATACGTTTCAGAGAACGATTGCCACTTGACAACGATATCACCCACTTGTGACTCACTGTGTGAACAAGCATTTTGTGTGCTACAAAAGGAGTTGCTGAACCATCTCAGGATAACCACCGGACGTGTTTATTTATTTATTTTTAATGTTTTTGATTATCACCCGATGGAGTTGTACAGAATTATTTTCTACTTGCTCCAAAATACAGTATTCAGTATTCAGAACACCGAATAACTAATGCTTAAGCTAGAATTTGGTAAAACATGTTGCTGCCTCATGTGCCTGTTAAACAGAAACAGCCACCAACCGTTAAGTCAGATGTTTCGTAAACCTGTAAACCGACGGCATCAGTGCGTATCAGTTACGTGTACTGAGTTTAGTTGGGTAAAACTCGGGGTAACCAGTCAAGGACGTAGCAAAAGTGTGAGAGTCGAAGACCACTGGAGCGTCCAAAGCAGTGCATGAACTCTTTATGAGACAGAGTGAGGTCACGAAGTTTGAAGCGAGCTCGAGTATTAATATTATTAATAATAATGATTATTGTTAAGGGTACATGCCTCAAGTGAGATCATATGTACAGGTGATATCACGTTCTTGCATGGGCAATGGAAACTTATATACTTATATTTGTCTGTTTCTTGCAACGTATTTGTCCCATATGTTTGCCTTTTATGCGATGACAGGAGTCAACTTGGTAGTTTGAGTATGTTGTAGACACTGAGAGCTAATAACATTGTGGAAAGTTGTGATACAATACCCATTAGACGTTATCTGAGTCTTCATTAAATAGATGGACAAGCGATCTACCCCACAAACAAAACGACAATGGTGTCCACGTCGAGGAAGCTTCGCAGCTTACTGCGAAATGATTGCAGTCTCACACGACCTGATTATGATTGGGAGCCGATTCCACAGAGGCATATCCGGTTAGGAAGAGGTTAAACAGCACATTCGTCTTGCATCGTGATATAACTAGGGTGAAATGTTTGTGACGAAGGTTCCACATGGAACTCTACCGCAACGTGAAGGTGGGTAGATTGCACTGGGCATTGCCATGAATCAGATGGTACAGCAGTATCCATCTATAGTTTGGTCTTCGCAGCGGCTGGAGATGGAGTTAGTGAAGACGCTCTTGATAGTAGTTAAAAGAATTTTTCCCCAATAGGTATTTAGTAAATGACTGTTAAGGGCTTCTTATCGATATTCTGTCAGATTTCCTTAATTTTTGGCGTGCCGACCCACTCCGTCTGAAAACGGCCGCAAGCGCTACGGATTGGGGTATCCCAGAACACATTCACCTCGACGACGCGTGGAATCTTGTACTCTCCAAAATGAGGTCGTTAATTGAGCAGGTCGTTCCTTCCTCCCATCGAAAACCCTTCGCTAGAGGTCCACCTTGGATGGATCGAGAGTTGAGGTCAATTATGAATAGAAGGCGCAAATTATGGGAACGCCTTGGGCAATCTCATTCAGAACTCGACTTCTCTCACTACAAGACTGTCAGAAATGTTTGTGTCGCGATGAAGCGCCAGAAACGCCAACAATACGAACTATCCTTGGCAAAACACTCCATAATCGCGCCTAAAATGCTATACTCTTATTTGAAAAGGAGCACTAGAGCTGGTAATGGCATCCCCGCTTTGTGTTCCTGTGATCATCAAGCTTTACTTCACGAGGACGCTGAGAAAGCTAGTCATTTGGCTAAGCAATACGCTTCTGTTTACGTGAAAGAAACATCATTTAGTGACAGAGCCGTATCCACCTTTCCATCTTCGTTGGCCCAAGTAGATAAACACTGATTCTGTGATGAAACTTCTTCAGTTAGATCCGTACAGCTCACCCGGCCCTGATGGATTGCATCCTTTGTTCCTCAGGACTGTGGCGGAGTGTACATAGCTTCACCCATATGTCAAATCTCTTGTCGCTCACTAGAAGCTGGCCATCTTCCTTCAGCTTGGAAAGTGGATATCGTCAAACCCATTTACAAAGGAGGAAGTCGACATGATCCGGCCAATTATCGTCCAATCGGTCTGACGTCAATAGTGTGTAAAGTTATGGAACGGATCCTAAAACAAGCTGTTACTCTTCATCTTGGGGGACAGAATGTCATTTCTTATGCCCAGCATGGGTTCCGAAAAGCACGCTCCTGTACCTCAAACTTACTCGTTGCTAAGGTGACCTGGGCAAGGTCGCTAGACTCCGGCAAACGCTTGGACGTTGTGTGTGTTGACTTCAGCAAACCTTTTGACAAAGTCCCGCATGAACGGCTCCTGTTTAGGCTCCAAGGAATCGGCATTTCTGGGAACCTCCTGTCTTGAATCTCCGACTTCCTAAATGACCGCTCTATGCAAGTGAAGGTGAATGACACATTTTCTGCTCCTGTTCTCATGACGAGTGGGGTCCCACAGGGCTCTGTCCTCGGTCCCGTACTTTTCAATATCTTCATCAACGACTTACCATCCACTCTTCAGACGGATTGTCTAATCTACGCTGACGACCTAAAGCTATGGATGGAAGTATCCAGCCTTGAAGATGCGGACAGATTACAAACTACGCTCGATCTACTCCATGATTGGTCGATTAAGTGGCAGTTGCCCGTAAATTGTGATAAATGCTTTGTTCTCCACGTTGGCTCATCAAACCCATTTGGAACTTACCACATTGGTGGTTCCTTGCTCAGAAGCGCAACCCAAGAGAGGGATCTTGAAGTGATAGTGTCATCAGACCTCAAATCTATTCAAGACACCCAGAAGAGGGTCGCCGTGGCCTACAGGATGTTCCATTCTATACGTAGAGGGTTTTCTCTCCTGACCCCGGGACTTTTCCGACTCCTCTTTGGCTCGCATGTACGCCCGATTCTCGAATACGGGCTACCCGCTGCCTACCATCTCACCAAATCCGAATGTGATATGATAGAGAAGGTTCAACGGCGTGGATCCAAATCCGTCCCTGAGTTGCGAGACCTCTGGTGTCCACACCGACTTAAACGATTGGACTTGTGAGTTACAGGACTTCGTACAACTGAACACTGAGTTAGACACGAGGTCACCGCATGAAACTGTTCAAACCGAGGAATCTCCGTGTGCGGCTCTATTTGGCCTTAGCAACTCGCGTGGTGAATGATTGGAACCGGTTGTCGGATCCTATTGTTGATGCTGAGACTGAGGAAGGTTTCAAACAACCGTTGGATTCTAATCTGAGCGCGCTGAGATTCTACTGCCTCTAAGAGAGCTACAGTGGTCCTCTGCGGAACCTTCTGCCGCAATGACCCACGCCATCTCCGCAATGATCGGGAAATGAAGGAGCTGACAAAGGATCTTCCTTCTGCTCACTATCATCCAATGATCTAATGATTGCCACAATGTATGCTGCAATACTCCAGGGTAGGATGAATAAGGATATTAAAAAGTTCAAATCTGGTTGTGATTGTATGCATCTTATGAGATATGCTAGCGACGGATTGTCTGGCTTGTGCTATTTGGTAATAGATGTTCAGAAAAGTGGAAGGTACAAAAATATCTGATCCCGTGGTCACGTGTAGACCGGTGCACAGATGTGAACGCTGGTGGGTAATGCTTTATTTATGACAATTACCTACCGTAACTGACAGTTTCGCCCCTTCTTTTGCATATCCGCATTATTACGAGCGTAATAGGAGCCAAGATAACTAAATGCATTGACACTTGTTGTATGGCTCAGCCAACCAAATGAAAGTCAGGTGCAAAACATAGTGTAAGAATACCAATGATTTCGCGGCTGTTAGCCTACAATACGGTTAACAATGACGTGCCCGATTCCCCATGCTGTCGACTTCGACGTTCGCATGTGCTACGTCACCGAGTGGCGGCTCCATGACTTCATTAGTGTGCGGCACCAGCAATGCAGTCATAAAAACAATTCAGAAAAATATGCATCTACGATGTTTTGGTGTGACATGCCTCTATGAAAGTTTCAACCCAAACCGCACTTAATATCAGCAGTAGTAAAAGTATTGATCAAAGCCTTCTAGGAAAAACATATGTTTGGCACAGTTTAACCATGAACATTAATTACTACTTGTAGGTTTAAGGACAAATTCATTTTGAGGTAAACGAAATGGAAAGTAGATGCAACCCAATGTTCGTGAAAACGGATCAAGAGATACGTAGCTCAAAAGGTGGAGATGAAACGTGCCTTTTCTAGATCCTCTGCAGACGCTATACTCGAAAATCGATCGTGTACAACGCGGCTCAGGTCATATGAATTGAAGCCATCTGGGATAACCGAATCATTGCCGTCGAAGCGAGCTAGACGTTGCAAGCTAAAGAATATCAATATGAGAAATGTGATCACTTGTAAGGAGTCAACAAAACAAGGGAATAAAACTCCGTGATAAAGCGTCTCTGCAGTGGCATTTCGGAGAGACCAATGTCTCGAGGGACTGCTTCAGGTGTAACGTTTCCAATAAAGGGTAGAGTAATATGCAGCAACCTAGATCGTAGCTAAGGGTTGGGAGCATGGACTCACGCATCACGCTGGTAAACCGGCTTGTCCTCGGTTAATGAAGTAAACAATAGTGGGAGGAGTTTAATTTGTTGTGGCGCAGGAAGACGAGGATATCCAAGCCTAAGGTACATATGGGAAAAGTTGCTTAAAAAGATCAAATTCGATTGATCATTGTAAGTTAGAAAAAGTTCGCGAACAGGAACTTGTATGGTAGGCCTGGCTTTTAGGCGTCTCGTGACATCACCCAAGAGCTCCATAAGCTAAAGACAAATATCAGACGAACAATAAAAGACACCTTCTTTCTGTGGTCCTCATATAAGGTCAGGCACTTTAACATATACACCAGAGACTTGTGAATGACTTTCTCAAACTGTTCATCGTCATCAGCAAGACTGATTCTAAGCGCCAGCCGGTCTATTTCTTCGCCTTTAATGGTTATGAAAATCGTGTCAAAACGTACTGGATCTAGAAAACTCCTCCAAAGGAGTGGCCATCATCGTCATGTTAGTGCGGAGTGCTTGATCGCAAAGAGCCGAGAAAACGCGTCAGGAGGGAGCCCTGCAGTACAACTATAGCAGCAGCTGAAATTTTCAGAAAGTATGCTAATTTTTCGGAGAGCGTCCTATCCGCCACTTGGAAATAACGTTACTTCGGCAGTGTGATTCCGGTACACATGGTTTCCTTCCAACGACTTACTCCCCTTTGGCGGTAAATTGAAATTTTTGAGCGTGCTGTCTTTCTGAGGTTTTACTTTCAAAAGACAGTTCCGAAACAGTGTTTACAAGTGTCGTGCAAAAAGTTGACTTTTGTCAACTTTCGCTTGCTCCAAAGAATTTTGGATCATCGTTTTCCCCAGATTACATCGTACCCGTTTTCTGGTACTTACCAACGTCGTCCATCTTTTTCGGGTTCAGCCTCTGGCTACTTTTCCGGTATTTTTGTGTTTTGTAATCCGTTTTGCACCTTGTTTAACCCATAACTGTTTCTGTTGACTGCCCTGCAGGTAACAGCTTGTCGGTTTTACGTTTTGATTCTTGTTTCACACCCTGAAAGCGTCATGTCGGATTCATTGAATACCGACGCTAATGTGTCATCGGCTGCATTGATCAGCGAATCTAATGCTGTATGCGGCAGCGGGAGCTGCTCAAAGCCCGTGACGGACGAGTCTGGTGGCATGCAGTGCTACGTACGCAACAGCTGGTAGCATGAGACCTGTACCGATTTGAGCCCTTATCAGTCCGTAATGCTTTCGACTAGCGATAGCATGCTGTTCCATTGTCTTCTATGCCGTCACCGTCGATCTACTCGTCTTGAGGTCACTGAGGAGACATCGAGCAACGTCGGGCTGGGTAACCAGCAGTTGTGGTCCTTCCTCATATCTCTTGCTCGGAAAGTGGAGTTACTGATGAGGAATATGGGAGTCTCTAATAATTTTGGCTCATTGGAGGAAGACACGCAACCAACCTCAATTGCTGTAGATGAAAATCCGACTGAGGTGATGGCTACCGTGTCTTGTGTACCAGCGGTCCACAATGCCTCTAAAGGGGCCTCTGATGTACTGGAAGCCGTCCAATGCGAGACTGAACTTATTGCCCCTGGGCCCAATAAAAGCAAGAGGAAGAGGGTTAAGAAAGTCCGTAAGGCTGCCTCAAAACCTGAAGGCGCTGAAAGCCTTAAGGTATTGGGGGTGGAACACAAAACTCCAACTCCAATCACCCCAGTTTCATTGGCGAAGCAACGCGCGGTGTCGACTTCGGCCACACCCGCAAAGTCTGAAAAGGCTAGACCGGTAAGGGAGTTGGAGGCAGAGAATAAAGCCTCAACCTCAATTACTTCAGATCACTTGGCGAAGAAACGCGCCGTGTCATCTGCCAAACCGGTCGAAACTGAGGTCGCGTCGAAGACGCGTGGAGTGATAATGCCTCGTCTAGGTGATTCTTTTACTGATAGTAGCGTTAACTTTCGTAACGTTGCTAAATCCGCGGCAACTCTTCCGAAGGAACGCATGCTGGATGACTTCCAGTGGTTCAAGCTCTGCGTCAACAAGATGCTTCCACCTGTTTTCCCCGGTGTCACTGTCAGGAAATTAACCAGATTGGGGAACGTCCCTGTAGACACGCCAAATCCGCGAAGCCGTCTACTTCGTGTAGCCCTCTCAACCCCGGGGGACGCAAAGCGTAAATGCGCTTTGCATTCAAACTCAAAGGTAGTAATGTCAGCATTCAGCCGGACCTCCCACTGGCAGATCGACTGAAGGTAAAGGAAGCCATCAAAAGCCTCAAGAGCGGGCGGGCGGCTGGTGAGCAAGGCCTTCGTCATGTGGGTTTTCAGATGGTCAGCCGGAAGTCAAATTCCGCCCTACCAGAACCTCTCCTGGTAGCGTACGACCCAGGGCTGGTCGTGCCGAGTTCCTTCGGGTAGTGCTTAGTAGTCTGCGTAGCCTAAGAAACAAGGTACACGATGTGGGTCTACTTGTAGAAAAATCTCGTCCCGACATACTTGCTATCACCGAAACGTGGCTGTCCCCGGATATCACAGACAGTGAAGTATGTTTTTCTGGCTACGCACTGCTTAGATGCGATCGCCCCGTTGGCCGCCAAGGTGGGGGCGTCGCTCTTTATGTGAGTTGTAAACTCGATATGTTGAAGACCTGTGTGTTCCAGTCGCCGGATCAAACTGTTGAAGCCCTCTCGGCTATTGTGTGCACTTCCTCTGCTCATTTTACAGTTGTAGTGGTATATCGAAGTCCTGGAGGTATCTCCAGGGAGGTTATTGAATTTATTCGTACTCAGGCTGCCAATAGGTGTTTAATACTGGGTGACTTCAACCTCCCTGAAGTCTGCTGGGCTGATCTATCTTGCCGTTCGGCGGTGGGCACTTTCGGTTCGGATCTCCTTGAGCTAACATTGCAACTGCCTTTGCATCAGTTTGTGGACCTCCCGACTAGATATATGCGCGACCAAATTCCGTCTACCTTGGATCTCATTTTTGCGAAGTCACACGATTTCGTAAGTGATATTACCTACGACTGTCCTCTAGGAGCCAGTGACCATGTCTGCATATCCTTTCGATGTGCTCTAACTAAGTGTCATCAAGCTACCGCTGAGGCTTGTCCAAATATTTGGCATGTAGACTTTAACGCAATACGAGCCAAAGCTTCAGTGTTGCGTTGTGCGATCACCGTGGCTGACACTGTTGAGACAGCCTGGGAGAAATTTAAAGCATACCTCACCGAAATCTCTGCTTCCCACATCCCACTCACTAAGAGAAGGGTGACACGGGCGCAGCCTCCGTGGATAGATCATACAGTTAAATACCTGCTCAGGAAGCGCTCTAAGTGCTGGCGAACTTACCAAGCGGCTTCATCAACCAGCACCTACGAAAGCTACCGAGCGGTTAGAAATAAATTTAAGCATCCTCTTAGAACTCGTCTTCAGTACGAGGAGGATTTGGCTAACGCAGCCGTAACAAATCCAAAGATGTTCTTTACTTACGTAAAGAGACGTAGCGGTACAAACTCGTCTATACCGGCTTTACTACGAGCGGACGGAACCAATGGGCATACCGACTATGATAATGCCTGTATACTTAGCGAACAGTATACTGGTGTCTTTTCTCATGAGGCCTCTCTACATCAGGTTGAGCTGGTCACAAAATTGCCGGAGGATTCTCGCCTAACTGAAATCCGCACAACGGAGACACAAGTCTTCGGGCTATTGCAAGAGCTAAATCCTTCCAGAGCTGCTGGCCCTGGTTCAATTCATCCGAAGCTGATGCATGAATTGGCCGCTGAGCTAACTGGCCCTCTGACATGCATGTTTACAATATCACTCGACAGCTCTGCCTTATCTTCTGAATGGAAGAAGGCACCCATCTGTCCGATTTTTAATGGCGGGGACAGAGTTCTGCCTGCGAACTACCGGCCTGTCAGCTTAACAAGTGTAGTAGTTAAGTTGTTTGAAAAATTGGTCAGGGATTCGGTGGAGAATCACCTGATTAAGTTTAACCTCAGTGCAGCACAGCACGGATTCCGCAAGGGATTTTCATGTCTGATAAATTTACTTGTAGCTCGTGAAAGCCGGGCTGAGGCAGTAGACAAAAGTCACGCCATCCACGTGCTTTTCGTTGACTTCTCGTAAGCCTTTGATACTGTCCCACATCAACGACTCCCATTGAAGTGAAGATCGTTTGGGATATCTGGAGCCGCCCTTAAATGGGTTTCTGCTTTCCTAGAGGACAGAGAACAGTGTGTGCGTGTGGGGCCTAGCCTTACGCTTGGACAAGCTGTTCTTAGTGGCGTTCCGCAGGGCTCAGTTCTGGGGTCGTTATTTTTCACAATTTATGTCAATGATCTACCCCAGGAGCTTGGAGTACCGTCGCTATTGTTTGCTGATGACCTCAAGCTCTGGAATATTGTGGATATCCCTGGTGGCTTTGAGGCACTTCAGAGTGCCTTGGATAGGCTCTGGGATTGGCCAACCTTATGGTTGATACCCATAAATCAGGCGAAATGTTCTGTCCTCCGCATTGGAGTTGCTATTCCCCCATGCGCTATGTAGTTGGTGGAAATGAATTCTCTGTTGTCATTCAGCAGGTTGATTTAAGTATCACCCATACCTCATTGCTTCACGCTGGTGAAAATTGGAGGAAGGCTGCTTGTAAAGGCTTTCGTATGATGTGGTTTATTCGCCGCTCCTTCGGTGTCCTAACGGCCAATGTTTTTGTGAGGCTGTTCTCAGCTTTTGTGCGACCTCACTTAGAGTACTGTATCCAGGCTGGCACACCTTGTCTTGGAAGGGACAGAATGGAAGTGGAGAGGGTTTTGCGAGTGGGTACAAGGTTAGTGCAAGGATTACGGTGGCAAACGTATCCCCAACGTTTGCTTAGCTTGGGTATGTACTCAATGCACTACCGCAGAATTAGAGGAGACTTGATCCTCACTTACCGTATCTTAACGGGTAGGATCGGTCCAGACTTGTCCTGGCTATTCAGTCCCGCCAAGCTGCCTAATCTCCGAGGTCACCCGTTGAAGCTGCACAAACAGCGTTCTGATCGGGTAAGGACGGAAACTCGCTTGTCGCGTCGAGTTATTGAACGTTGGAACTCGCTTCTGGCGCGCGTGGTTAGGGAATCTACGGTAGAGGGTTTCGAGCGTCAGTTAGATGCTTTTGGGTAGCAGTACCAAACCTTGCCCTTCTCCTAACCGACTTGTATCTTCCACTTTCCCTTCGTTCTTTTTTAACTTTCTTCTCACCTTGGTATTATCATTATTTAGCTGACATTTCTCCTCTTATTTTCTAAGCTTACCCTTCACTCTTTTAATTCACATAAATTGGCCTGGCAGGGACTGCTGGGTAGGAAAATGTGGACAGTAATTGGTTGGACAGGGGGTGATGCGGTCTTTGTTTTAGGCTTTTCAACATCTCAAGCAGACCTGTCAATTTCCGATCCGACGACACGCAAAAGAAGGAACATTCACGGGATTATCCTATCGTTCCAGTCC